TTTTTTATTTTATGTTTTATGACGAAATCGCGTCATTTTGAGACATAATGGGCTATAGGAAAGCGAGATTTTACTCTCAGGGATGTCAAACTCATAGGTACACTTGGGCCAAACAAACAAGGTTTAACTTTAGGCGGGCCGCAAAGAAAAATCAATATTCATAGAAACGTAGATTTATTTCGAATAATACAATAATAAACATATATATATATTTATATAGAAAAGAACAAGAAAAATTTAATGTTTACGTCCTGATACTTGACATCTCTTCTCTGCTATTATCTTTCCTATTTCGGGAGAAATTTTGTTTGCAGTGATAACTTTCAACGCTGATCCAAGGTGAGTATCATTAATACGGTTTCTAATAGGATACTTATTACCTTTCATGACTGAAAATAACTGCTCGCACCGATAAGTGCTACCAAACATGGAAATAATTTCATATGCGAATTTTCGAGTATTTTCAAACTTGGCTGGTAAATATTTGTAAAATTCAGGCACGCCCACTTCAATGAATTTTGCTTTCAAATTTGAGTTGCATTGAATCTCGATCACCTCCATTTGCATATGGCTGGGTACTGAGTCAATATTTATTGAGAAAATCGAAGGAAAAAAAAAAAAAAAAAAAAAATGTCTTCGAGGGAACTAAAATCATTAAACTTCATTTCAAATTCAGTTGTTAAATTTGCAATTTTTTCTGCGTATTTTTGATACGAACAAGCATCATCTAAACTTGATTTGTTCATGCTGCACGTCGGGAAGTGCGTCAAATCTTCATTTTTAAGTTGTTTTTCCCAAAGAACTAGTTGACATTTGAATGCTTTAATTATGTCAAACATATTCGTAATGATATGATCTTTCCTTGTAACGATAAATTTAAATCGGTTAAGTGTTTGGTTATATCAACCAAGAAAGATAAATCTTGTATCCATATTAGATCGTAAAACAAACTTACGTCTTGATTTTTCGTTTTTAAAAACTGACATATTTCTTCTTTCAAATCCCAGAATTGTTTGAGAATCCTGGAGCAAGATAACCAACGTACCTCGGTATAGTAGGACAAACCCGAATATTCACTATCTAACTCACTTAAGAAAGCAGTGAATTGACGCCTCGAGATCTTATAAAATTTATAACTTTTTTTATATATGACAAAACATTCTCCATATTTATTACTTTCGTGCATAGAACTTCTTGATGTATAATACAGTGCATATGATGAATGTTTAAACCGTGAATTTCACTAAGTTTTTTTCTTAGTAATGCTACGAAGCCCTTGTTTTTCCCGGTCATTGATGGAGCGACATCTGTAGCTACAGAATTTAATTTTGCCAAAGGTAGATTGTATTTCTGCAGAAGTCCAAAAACACAAGTAAATATATCTTCTCCTGTGGTAGTACCAGGCATCGGTATTAGTTCCAGTAATTCCTCAAAAATGTTAAAATTCTTGTCACAAGAACGAAGAAACATTGCTAATTGAGCTTTGCCACTAATGTCCGTGCTCTCGTCACAGGCAATGGAGAAACTTTCGAAACTAGATGATTTTGCTTTGATCTGATCACTTAAATTCGCGGCTAAATCAGTAACTCTTTCCGCAACTGTATTTCGAGACAATGAAATTGATTGAAAAGCCTTCACATTTCCAGGACAAACAATTTCTCCAGCTTTCATTAGGCATTCCTTGATGAAATCACCGTCAGTAAAAGGCTTCGAATGTTTAGCTATCAACTCGGACAAGATGTAGCTTGGTAGCTTGCATGTACCGCCGCTTCACTTTCTTGCAATACTTTACTAAACATGGACTGTTGCTTTTTCACTCCTAACTTAAGCTCCTTCAACTTTTCTTCTCTCATTAATCCTTCGTAATTGTTATATTTCAATTTGTGTTGTTCGTAATGACGTTTAATATTATATAACTTTGGTACATTAATAGTATTATTACATATCAAGCAGATTATTTTATCTTTTATTTCACAGCAAAAATATTCTAATTCCCATTTTACTTGGAATATTCTATGTTCGTCAGCGATTTTTCGTTTAATTTTACTACCACTTGGTTTGATATAGACATACAGAATACAAAGGGCTGGAATAAACACGGTTAACGTTAAAAAGTTAACAAAAATTTATTCTTTCCACAAGAGATAAATCAAAATGCTGAAATATTTCTTCAAAAATATTCTAACAATATCACAAAATGTCAAACGTTTAGCAAAAATCAATTCAAAACAGAGAAACTAATTCTATCTCACAGCGAAATCGCTACAAATCAATCACAGCATTATGTAAACAAACAGTTCGCTAGAACTACAGCTACTACTGAGATGAGTTGTTTGTTCTCGGCTTTTATAAGCTTTATAATTAATTTCTCGAATATACTGGAAACATCTATAAATATCTGGATTTTTGTGGATGGCAACAGCAATTACGAGATATTTATTTATTAGGTATTAAATGCACGCGCTGTTCTATTTTTAACCTTCCAACGCAGCTGTTTTTTCAAAAATCGTCTGCGTTGCTAAGGCAACATGAAGCAAATCTAATTACAATTCTAAATAAAAAAAACTAAATAAATAAATAACTATGAAATCCGTAGCAATATGAATTAAGTAATAATTAATAATAAAGCAAAGTGCATGCACATGCATGCACCAATATATCGTACAAAACTACGATTGGAAAACTGAGACCATGAGTTCGGCCACATTCGGCTATCGGGGGATGCGTACAAGTTCTGAGTGCACGTGTCCCCCAAAAGCCGAAGGTAGCTGAACGCAAGCTACTCACACGCATTTGTAATTTAAGTAGTGTGTGTGTCAGCTCGCTGTGAGTAATCTAACAACACTGAATAAATTATCGTTAATTACTTAGCAGTAAACATTTCATTTTTTTCTTCGTCGATATGTTATTTTATTATTATACTAGCTGTACCCGCCCGGCGTTGCCCGTGCATTTAGAAAATGCAGATAAGTGAATAGCGCAGGAATAGTAGTGTAGGACATGTAGACTGTCTCTCTCTCTTCCCCCCCCCCCACACACAACATTCCCCGTCGATAAAAAGGAACAATATATCCTAACCATGAGCCATCTGTTAAAAAATTAGTTTAAATGAGAACAGACCTCATATTAGCACATGCTAGGAAACCGTAGTCATGTGGTTATAATCATTGGTCTGAAGTATAAAGAAAAGTAAACATAAAAAATTCAAAATCAAAGATAGGAAAGAGTTGAAAGGGAAAGATAGAGAGTACAGTACAGAAAAAATAAAAAGTAACGAAAACATGGATGAAATAAAACATCTTGCTTACAGGAAATTTGGAGTTAAGAACCAATTAAATTTTTAATTTAAGTGTAAGTTAAATTTAGATGACAATGAATTAGAAGAGGAGAGTGTTTGTGTATGTTAAGAAACAAAAAGTTTATAAAGTGCAATTCTGAAAAAAAAAAGAAATTAATGTGTCATGAAAACAGCAAACTAAAGCTACAAAAAAGAAATGAATTGTAATTAATCGATTTAATGTATCGTCAAAACAGCAAACTAACGCTAGAATAAAGAAATCAATTGTTACAATCGAACGTTATTTGAAAACAAATAATAATATCAGTGAGTCAAAAACACCGTGATTAATTAATTATAAATAATTTTTTTTAAATTTTTCTAATTCAAAAATCGAAAATCGGGCTTCGAGGTCTGGTGGCCAGCCCCTTTGTGCTTCCGTATAAAAAATTCCAGGTCCCTGCGTGCGATAGATTTGGCTGGAGAGCTCGGTCAGACAGACAGACACATTACACTTGCTTTTATTATTATAGATATTATTATTTGCCGATATATTGACCGGGCCGAAAAAATATTTGCTGTGGGCCGCATGCGGCCCGCGGGCCGCGAGTTTGACATCCTTGCTCTACACACTCCATTTTTTACGAACTTAAAATAAATTTCGTGTTTCAATAAATCGATTAAATACGAATTTATTTAACAAAGTGAGCTTAACACCTTTTCAACGGGATTTTTTCTAAAAAAGTTTATTTTTAAAAATGTACAGTTTATTTTTCTTTGATTTTTGAACACGTTAAACTTTCATCCTTGCGCTGCTTTTACAAACAGAATTTTGGAAAAATGATAATATTTTGTATTTTTAAAAAAAAATTTTAAATGAAGCTTCCGAAGACACTTCTGACATCTTACATCTTTAAAAATTTGATTTTGGCAACAATTTTCCTTTCTTATTGTTGCTGATAGATTTTTGATGAAATCTCATCATTTTGAATAGTTTCATAATTTCATTCTTTTAGAAATATGGGTTTGGCAACAATTTTTCATTGTAATTCTTATGTCACTGTTTTTAAGAGATTGCATATTTCATTGTAATTTTTTATACATATAATACATTTTTATATTAGACTAGCAGCTTCGCTGCCAGCCTTCGTCTGGCTTTTAAATGTACCGGGAAAATGGCTGAAGGGAACACCAGACGTTAAATTTAAAAACTGCGTAGAATTTTATTCTGCAGAACATTTTCATAAAGCAAAAAAGGTGTATAATTTAATAGGCGATACAAGAAAGTCGTGTTCATATAAGATTTTTAACTACTAACACTGATCTGATAAAAATCACTATCAAAACGGTGGCTCCTGGAAACCTCGATTTTAGGGGGGGGGGTAAATTAATTGGGGGGCAAGAAGTTTTTTGCATAGGGGTCCTAAAGTTCTAGTTACGCCACTGATAGCACATTAAAAAGTGCACAAAAAGACACAGTATATCAAGGGACTTAAAAATTTTAATAATATTCTTTTTAGTTACACAAAATACTTTTCTATTCGTGCATACACTGTTGCCATAAATATCGAAAAACTAGGGAGAAAATTACGTGAAGGGGAAGGGGAGAAATATTTAAGTAAATATAGTAATAAAGAAAATAAAACTACACTTAAAATATTCTTAAAAATCATTATATTATAGCTAAAAAAAAAGGGGGGATACCCAAAAATTATAAACGCAGTTTTTCTTTGGTTCAATTTTTATTGGAATGATTTTTACAAAGCTTTCTAATACAAATATGTACATCAAAGCATCATCATTCTACCTCTACCCTGCTGTTTCTTTTTCATTTCGGCATATATTTGCGCCTCTTTTTTAAGTAAGACTCTCTTTTTTTCAAGATCTTCATCATCACTTGATTCCTCTTCTTCTGCAGATAAAAGATAATTATTTTGAAATCCAACGTCAAAAACAATTATTCACAGTACTGTAATATTTAACATTCAATATAAATTACTAAAATCAGCGTTAATAAAAAATTCAGTTACTGTTCGTTATGAGCAATGAAAGTATATTTTTACAATTGTAAGACATTTCTTTGCTACCACGTAGTATATAAAATTGAGAAAATGCTAGTTTTCTTCACCGTAATGGATACACTGCAGAGCAATGTCACTAAATATTTTTTTCATCAGAAATTATAGAAAATTTTATAAATACAAAAGCCCCAGTTGCTTTCAGTGCAGGATATTGTTCATCTAAACATTAACCTTTACACTAAACAAATTGTATTCATATATTTTGTAAAATTCGTATCCACCATGCTGAACTTACAAATGGAACTTGGTGTGAAATCAGTTGATAGAAATAACTGCAAATTATATTAATATATTAATCATCATTATATATTTATGTTATTGATGATTAGAAATTTTTAAATAATATAAAACTGCAACTTTTTCCCTTCCTCACCGCGCGCTTTCGTGATGTATTAGGAAGCACGTCTAACTAACATAGAGAAAGGTTTGGAACTCGAATCCCGGTGAGGGCATAGCTGATTTTCTCACGTTTCCTGTTTCAAATAATAATAATAATTATAATAGTCATATTAATAATACTCTGTACAGTGACACCCGAACTAAAACGTGGTGGATGATAATTCGTCACCTCTTGGATTTGGCGACCGAGTTTGCTTTCTCTTAGCCGACCTTTGAGTGGAGAAATATGTAAGATGTTTTCCCTTTCTTCACCGCATGCTTTGGCGGTATATTTGGAAGCACGTGCGGCCAGCAGCAGAAAGCCTGGAGTTCGAATCCCGAGGGCATCAATCCACATAACAAAATATAAAAGCCATTGTCGAGGGGGACCGCCATCAACAAAAAGAGATACCGTGAATCCTTAGATTAACTTTAATCGTGAATTAACGAAAAAGAGACCAGAGTTATGAAATACTGACATTAAACTGCACCACGTTAATGCCACGGAACACACTTGGCAACTCAGAAAACTGATAAACTGGGATGGAAGATCTGCAATATACTCTTCACAGCCTGGACCTGAACCTTTTTGACTTTTGCCTGTTTGGGAGTTTAAAAGATTGTCTGCATAGTAAGATCTTTACATGAAAGAAAGAACGTTTATCATGTATCAAGTAATCCAACTGATCTCGGGAGTTTTGACCCTGTGCATTCACGATCAGAAAGAATGCTGGCAAAGGTGGGACATGGCTCAGAAGCATCCTGTATTGAGGGATTTACTACAGTCAATAAAAGTCCAAAATTACCTCATGCGAAATTTAATTTTTTTCCTAAAATCAAAGAAAAATTAAACTGGTTTTGTGATAGTTTACGAAAATGTTTAGAGATTTTGGCTTAAACATCACTTGCTCGATAAATATAAATCCAACAGACCTGAAGGATGGAAAAAGATGCACTTGTCTTTTTATTACTTCTTATAACTGAGGAAAAATATTTCACCTTTGAAGTATTAAAAAATACACTCAAATGCCTTTATTACTTGATACAATAATTGAAATATTTTTTTTCCGATTATTAAGGGGAAAATGCTATTAATTCTTCCGTAAAAAGAGAGTTTCCCATTGTGAACGAAACAAATATAAGCTTATGTATATAGCTAAACAAATATATTTATGAGCCCAGTGGATTTACATCTCAACTGTTTCCACTTTCATCCTTTTTAATTAATTTTTACCAGACTCACTAGTTAACAGATTACTATAATGCACAATTTTCCGAGTTTAATGAAAAGATTGAAATAACATCTGTTTTTAAGTACTGCACTTCTGAAGAGCATCTTGAATCAATAAAGAAAGCGTTACCTGCTGGTTTTATTTTAACACCAACGCCTGGAGACGGTAGCTTCATAGCTTGGATCTTCTGCATGAACTAGTTAAGAAAAATTAAAATTTAGTGTATAAAAAAGAAACTGCAGAGGACTTTTAACTCTAATAATAATTCCAAAGCATAAACAGCTTGCATTGAAAGTTTGTGCAAAATTCATAGATACCATAACATAATCTACATGAATTTAAAGGTTGTTAATAAATCTTTATGTTAAATTATTTAGATAACATTTTTAAAATTCAACTCAGTTTAATGATATAAATGCAGAATTAACGACATTTATAACCAAATGAGAAGTATATGCTCTGGAAAGCCATATGCGATGCATCTATTTAGAATCAGTGTTTATGCTACGAAAAATCTGCTAAATTACTAATAGACATATTTCGGATAAAAAAAAGAGACAAATGTTTACTGAAACAAAAGCATATTTATGAGTTAATGTTTATTGAAAATACCACAATAATTTGTTTTAGTGTTAAACTAATGAGTTGAACGATACACTAAAAGTAGTAATGTTCCTACAGACTTTAAAAGTGATAAAAAACTGTTATTTTACAGCTTGACAGAGGCTTGCTTTATCATTTTAAACAACTCTACCATTTAAATATGTTATGAGAGATTTCGTAGATAACATTCAATAACCTCTATGTAGTGTTAGAGGCTGTAGGGACCACTTTATTTATTTTATGTAAAAGAATAGGCAACAACTTTACTTGAAATATAAAAAAATACATACATATGCTTTTGTTTCAGTGAGTTTTCCATAAATAGGAAAACCTAGTATTTTCATTTATGGAAAATCATACGAAAATAAGGGAATGAGAGGTTCGTTGGTTATTCGATTGGGTAAAGCTATAAGGATTTTTATGTTTTACTAACGTTTATTTTATTTTAAAACTTTGCTATCCTCTCTTTCCATTTCCGGCCAGAAGCGCGAGTACAATTTTCATGTTTAATGAGTTTGTAAACTGTGTAGGTATTTAAGGAGTGGCTTCTAGCTAAGAGAAGAACTTACTGCCTGCTACGCGCGTGCTTTCAGTCAGTTCATGGCTGCCTTTAAGGCCAGAACATAGTTCCCGCTGATATACTAAGACGTATTGTAGTATTTTTTATTTCGCTCACTAATCTCAATAAGACATATGTAAATCTCAAAATTATAATTTAAATCTAAATTTCCCTCTCTATTCTAAAAATAGTAATAACTTTTCTGGACTGCGTCATTTCTAGATCAGGCTATGTCACATAGCTTGTATAACGCTCATGACGTAGCTGATTCGAAACCTGGAATCAAAATTTCGAGAATTGAAACTTTCTCGCAATAAGCAACTTAAACCGAAACCTTCTCTTAACAGGCTGACGTATTGGATAATTGCGCACTTTTGCTTCTTTCTCTTTTGCCGTTAGGAAGTTACCGTGCTGCTTTCTTCCTATCGCACTTTTTTCAAAAATGTAAATTTTCTTGATTAGAGTCCCGAGTAAATTGTGGCTGAAAATCAACTGAAGTAAAGTTGAATACCTAATCTTACTCGGCTTCCAAATTTCCTCTTCAGTATGGATATACGTTTTACGCCATCAACATTACTACGTATTTTTCATTATATAATTATAGAATCTAAAAGGATTCAGATTTTAACATCGCATCTGTGGATCTGTTAAAATTTTTTATGCTCTCGCTGAGATCACAATATATCAATTTGCTCTTGTACTTAGAATTACCGATACACTTTTTAAAGTGTTACCATTAATTTTTTTCACTCTTTTCTTAGTTCATCGTATCAATGTTCAGCTTTCTTACTAAGCTGGATTATACAATTTGTTTTTGTCTTAGCATTATTAACTTTTTGTCTTTTTAAGCTTATTTATTAAACATCACTTTCTTCGCAGATGCGACATAAAATTTAACAGCAGAATCACAAAACGTTTTAAAGCAGCACATCTTTAGAATTCCCGATAGAGTATTAACTGTTGTCAAACTTTTTTTTTATATTCACTATTTTTTAAAATAGTACACGGCGAGAACATTTGGTAGCAACGTCCTTTTATTTGAAAAGTAATACGGATTAAAAAAATCGTGGATTGAGACTGATAGCACCTCTAAGGCTAAAAAATACATTGTACGTATATACTAGAAGTAAAATTAAATTAGAGGATTATAAATCTTAGTTTTTTGTTGTCGTAAAAGCGAATGGTCGTAAGTCGGACTGTCATAGTTCGAAAACTACTTGTAATACGGTTGTTCTTATGCCTTTGTAATGCATACTTAAAAAGTTATCATTGTTTCAAAGCCATTGTTATTCTAAGAAATTAAAGTTTTTAACTACAAAACACTTGCTTTTTTATGAATAATCTATTTTTAATATTGTTTGATGGAAACAAAATCTGCGTTTTGAATCTGTACAGTAATATGATGTAGTAATCTGGTACTGTACTAACTAAAAGTCATATGCGATCTGATGTTGTTCCTTATGTATGAATGCATAAGATTCTCAGAAGGGACTGCAGTTCTAAGATTAAAATAATACAAAATTAAACAGGAAAATGTCTGTAATATTTTAAACATATTTTGTGACAGATTTTTAAATTAATTTTTATGCATATGAAAATAATTTCCACATACCTGCTCTCCTTTTAGTTTTGCCTTTAAATTATCTAAATCCTTATTTTTCAGTTCCTCAAATATTCGAGTTAAAAATTGCTCTATTTTAGATACAATGTCTTTTAGTGTGATATCTGGAGATACGTAGACTTCTTCATTTTCCTAAGGAATAAATATGTTTTTAACTCTGAATGGCTTTCATTAAAAGAAATAGAATTTGAGAAAAGCTGCAAGGTTTCTCTGAAATTAATTTTTCCATGGAAAATTTATAACAAAAATATTGCATGTCATATATGAAAAATTATCTATCTTAACATTTAATTTATAAATTAGAGAATGATAAAAAATACATGCATGATAAAGTAAATAATTTAATGGAATCTTAGTAAATTCATTGTTAAAAGTAAAATTACAATAACGTTCATCTATTAAATAAATTTATACTTTAATATAATACAAAACTATTTATACTACAAATATTTACAGAACAAATTTTTGTTACAAAAACTGCTTTTATCTATATTTTAAACAAGGTGATAACTTTTCCCAAGTTAAATGGGCCTTTTCGAGCAAAAATCCCTTAAGGAACCAAACAGTTTTTTGATGAAATCAATGGAATCTTCATTACAAAAATAAAGGTGCCTCGACGTATCGAAATAGCTTTATTTTTGCAACTTTATGTAACTCTATCTGTAATTTGTTATGCAACTTTATTGTTTATTTTTGTATCCTTTATCACTTTATTTGCGTCGATCATTTTTTTCTGAATTCTCAGAAGTTGGAATATATTTGCTCTATTAATACTTGGTCAATTTTAAAATTTTGCTCACGTATGCTGTCCCAGAAGAAAAAGAAAGAAAATTCAAGATAAGCTAATATTTAAAGTTTAATTTGAGCAATGCACTACATAAAAGTGACTATAAATATATTTCTACAGTTTAAAATATAAAGAAATCAACTGAAATTTTTGTGAATGTGATTTTATTGAATGTGATCGTCGGCAAAAATGCCTGTCTTTTTCAAGTTTTATGTTATTTAACCTCTTTGTTATGTAACCTAATTTATTTTTTAAATAAATAAATTTAATTATTTTAAATATGAGCTATTAGTGTGTTGCATGTTAAAAATTAATTACAGAAGTTTTTTCTTTAACAAATCGATAAAGTTATTTGTTTTCCACTTCATGTCAAGTCCCTTGTCATGAGATTATTTTACCCACAATTAGTTTGTTAATCTGCCTAAAAACGGGGCAGTACATATTCAGTGACATAGATAAACTAGTGAAGCTAAGCTTCACTACTGCAAAGCTGACTAAGTTTGCAAAAGATGCGAGGAGATATGTCCTAATTGGCGAATTTCCATTTAGATAGAGATCTTCACATGGTGTCCAGAATGAACATTACATTCTTCATGATATAAAACGAATTTTATAATGGTGCCGGACACCGTCGCGTCTTGGCGAACAATGATCAACGTGCAAAAGGTTCCGCCATCTTTTTGCTAATTGGCCGCTTCGGTCAGACCAGCCACATTCGTCGCTGGCCGGGTTTCGGTATGAAGGGCGAACAGTAGCCGAATTGTATTGTAGAGACATTAGGTTAATTTGAGGCCGGAGAGATGAAAAATTATCAACAGCCTTCGCCGGAAATCGAACCACGAACCTCTGGAATATCGGCCCAGCGTGCAGAACACTACACCACGAAGGCACGCTAGGAAGCCGGGAGAAATACCTTATATACTTCCTCTTTTAAAGTTCGAATGCGGTTTTTAGGGGACCCAATCGACAAATCCTAGGTGTGGAGAATCCTTATCCAACACCCTTTTAGCTTGGGCGCCACTGTAAAGACATTAGGTATATTTTTGAGGCAGGAGAGATGAAACATTAACAACCGCCTTCGCCGGAAATCGAACCACGGACCTCTGAAATACCGGCTCAGTGTGCTGACCCCTACAACAGGAAGGCGTGCCAAGAAGGTAGGAGAAATACCTTATAGTATAAAGCTACCAACATCTTTATGACATCGTTCTGGTGGTGGGACATGACAATTTCTCACTTATATACATTAGATTAAAGAATTAAATTCAACAATTCTGAAATTGCGATTAGCTAACGACCAGGGGGTTAAAACTTTGTGTTTAATTATGATTACCATTATTTTAGCTTTCGATTTTTTAGTGTGCCATTAAATATTTTGCTTTCTATGAGTTTATAATTTTTTTCTGCATGCATTCTACAATTATGTTTAACGCTTCATGTTTTTAATATCATCAATATCTGGTGACAAAGCAGCGCCACAGGCACAGGCCCTTTGCGAAGTTTACTGAAATCCTGATAACCCCTTCATCCCTGGTTCCTGATATCATTAACATTTCAAAAATATTCAAAAAATATCTAATGCAAGTAGATTTCAATCTAGAACAAAAATCATATTTTGATCTCAAATTAAATTTGAAGGAATCTGTTTCTACCTCGCGCAAGTATTTTTCCATTAATTGCAGCTGATACCATAAACCAGATTTGATGTCAGCAGATTGCTTTTTGATTCTTTCTAGTTCAGCTTCTGCAGAAGCTTTCCTTTTCATTTGTTCGTCCTGCTCAATTCTTGCTTTCTCAAGCTGTTCTTCCAATACGCTAAAATAAATTTAATATATTGAATATATATATATATATAGAGAGAGAGAGAGACCAGATAGGACCAGATTATATATAGAGACCAGATTTTGAGACCAGATAGGTCTTTCGTCTAATTATCAGTTCGCTTACATTTTTCTTTTTCAATATATATATATATATATATATATATTCCCCGTTAAAACATTATTAACATTTTGCTTTCAAATTACTTCAAAACATCTTTCAAAATATAACTTACCAGTATGGATGCACACTTTTAAAATAATTCTACTTTAATTAAACTTAGGAGATAATATAATCAATTAATCAATACTGTTTAGGAAATAAATTATTATTAACTAACTATTCAGCAATTGCGCAAGTAATAATAACTTGTATTCGTACTAAATGGATTTAAGTTCATACAACATTTGATATGCTAAATAGCAGCTATTAGCGCTATTTATCTCTTACCTAATGTACCCACTTTATATATTATCTCCATCCTTTTTAAGTTTTAAAGTCTTATACAAAAACTTTACTGTATTGAAGGTTAGCAGTCTCCTTACTTTTATATCTTGCTAGTTTAACTCATATTTGAAATCACTTAAATGTCATTCCACTAGATGACAAACTTGAAAATTAACGCCATGCCTGGCTACAGGTAAACCCAAAAAACAATTTCTATGAAAAACATTTAACTGGTTTACATGATTACATGCGGTACCCCTGACATATTAAATATATAGGACAGACTAAAAACAATCTTAACTTTCGAATCAATAACCATAGAGCTCAAATCAAAAAATTCAACGCACAAAAAAATAGCATTAAAATAAGTACAACCATCACAAACTTAATACAGCAGAATTAGAACACTTTAAACACCATGACTTCAACTCTATTCAACTTCAGATACTAGATATAATACCCAATCACAAACACGAATTTTTCAGGAATCTCTCTATATACTAAAACAACGTTCACTTTATCCATATGGACTTAACACTTTTATACACATAGTCATAGAGATACTTCTAAGAAGTCTATTTCAGCCAATTTAAACTCTACAGCATCAAAACGCAGAGAGGAAAAAGAGGAAGCAAAAAAAAATAATGCCAGATTTCATCCACTTGAATACACTTGCATTGAAAAAACAATGAAATGTTTTTTGACTCAGACTGCTTTCCAAGAAACTCAACTGGTTACACCCTGTATAATAAATTCCTTATCAAACTAAAAAAAATTCACAGAAAGCTACGACGACATACAAATCATTAAAGACATGATTCTTGATTTTAGTTTTTCAGACTCTCTAATAGTCTCACTCAACGCAAAATTTATTTAAAGTCAATTTTCTGCATCCGCAATTTGACAATATTCATTTCTCAAGAATCATCAGAGATTGTAAAGATACTTCCCCGCAGTTGACACAATACCAATGATGCATTAAATATCAAAGGACCTTAAGCAACTTGCTACTAACCACCATGAAATAGATGAAACTGCAGAATACATTGTAAGACACCAATTTACAGCAATTACGTAGATTCTCATCACCAGCACATATACTGGCAATTGAATATCATACAACCATCAAAAAAACACTAATGAGTTATGGTACAAATTTAGCCAGTCCGAAACATTACTACAAATTGTTACAAGACTTGAAAAACAATCACAATTTATAGTTAAAGCAAGCTATCAACTGAAATACCCATAGAACCGTCTTAAAATGGAAAGTAAATTCTTCAACGCATATCCACAGAAATCAGTCACCTCAATTTAAAAGTAACTGAATTGGTCGCAACTTACATCAGATATTAGTAAATTTAAAACAGCTTTTACATTACAAAAATAGATAAAGCAACTAATAACTTTAGCATTATATGAAAACAATTCTACGAGATTATTATAAAAGAACTTCTAACGCAACTAATTATCAATCGCCACTTACAGAAACATTATAATAAACAGGATTAAAACTTTTCATAAGAAACTATATACTTCAATGCAACTACAAAACGATTTACTAATCTTTATGCGATTCCCAATTCCATAAAACACATTAAATTTAGATTTATAGTAATGGAAATAAATTACAAGAAAAATATAGACTATATTTTTCAATTAACTTAATAAATCTGTAAATTTATTCAATGATTGTAACACTAATCATAACTATTGCTGGATCATCATAATAACACTCCTGTCATTAATACCATTCATACCATTAACATAAAACATTAATGCTATGATTTTGAAAACTTATATCCCTCACTCCTCTAGAAGAAATCTATACCAGTCACTGCTACCAAAACTTTCCCTAATCGCTCATATCATGACTCTGACAAATGGAAAACCTACTAAAAGCACACTTTTATAACTACATCAAGTTTCAAAATCACTTTTTAAACAAGTCAGAGGATGCCAATGGGCTCATTCCAGCACCTCGATCTGTAATATCTTTTTATTTGTCAAAGAATTTAACTTCCAAAAAAAATCTACACCTACACAAGAGTTAAATTACTACAACACAACCTACAAATACATGATGACCTTATTACAATTACTAATTTTGGTAAAATGAAAACTCGAATTTATCCGAATTGTCTTAAACTTAATAAAACTAATAATTCACAAAATAGCTAGGCTTTAGATCTTCAAATCATTAACTACAAAAAATTTCTTTTTGACCAAAACAAGAAACTCAATTTCAATACTAACAAATTAATAAATTGGAACTCCAACATATCCAAAAAGTATTAACAACTAGAATTAATAAATACAACGAATTAAAAATTGACAGATACAATAGATTTACAACGCGAAATTTTGATCCTTATCAAATTCTCAAAATATTAATCCCTTCAATTTATCACCATTGCTTAAAAGAGCAGGCGTTAAATACTCACCTAAATCATAACTGATAGGGATATGATAATTTCTTCCTAAACTGAGAAGGCGGGTAAAGTTGGATGACTGTCAGTGAAGATTGTTATAGTGTAATTACTCAATGGTTATATTGTAAAAAAGCTAATTGTCTTCATAATGTTATATACTGTTACTAAAAAAATGGGCCTATTCCTGCCTTTAGACTGTCTATAGCTCTGGCAGTGAAAAATGTCTTTTCGTTCTTAATTCTTAATATTGCGACACGACAATTAGCAGAAATTAATATTTCCATTCACTAGTATTTCAAAAAATCTTAACAGACGGTCCTCAGATAAGAACTCCAAAATACATCCCCAAGAATTCCAGTCCCACACCATAAATTACTTCACCAAGTCTTACGACTGATATTAATTCAAAGCCACGCCGCTAAGAATTTCGGACACACCACACTTCGGTCAGACACGAAG